CTCACAAACACAATGCATCAATACACATTCAAATGATATAATGAACATATACAAAGTAAACAAGCCATGAACCTGATTTCTTACATCAATTATCACTTTCTAAAATAATGGCATATGAGGTTGACTTTCAATAGAAAGAAAGATCAATAAGATTTGATATAAACTGGGCAAGAGGGCAACTATCATAGTCTCCTGAAATGGAGAATTATTGTAGAAGTTTGCATATAAAATTACAAAGCTTTTAGTTTTTGAATGTTTAATTTCATTGAGCGAGAAAAAATTATCTGTCCCATTTCTCATCAAAAATCTAATTAGGGTAACCCATGTTCATAAAAACAACAACAATAATTTTAAAAAATGAGCTAATTGCTCCATAATTATTAGCTCAAGCTTCAATTTCAGTAGCTAAACTGATTTTGACCCTTAAAAACTACCTTTAATCATCAAATTCTTACTAAAAAATGAAAATCAAGTTGTTCCATCATTTTAGCTTAATCTGAGCTCCAATCCCATCGATTTTAACCAAATCAAACAACAAAAACACAAAATTGACCCCCCCCCCCCCCCCCCCCCCTAAAAAAAGAAAAGAAAGAAGAACAAAAGAGCAGATTAGATCAAACCTGAACACAACCAGAGGAAAAGCTCCACCTCTCGACTTCAAGAACCCATCAATCCTGCTCGAACTGTGGGAGACGGCGAGAATGGAGGAATTTCATGAGAGTTGCGTCGCTCTGGAGGGGGGCAGGGAGGCCGAGAAGCTGTGGAAGATGGTGTCGAACAGAGTGCAGTACATGACCGGGGTGTTGGCCTTCTTGTTTTGATGATGTTTAACAAACAATTTACCACTAATTTTGTTTGTCTAGTATTTGTGTTTTCTTATTTATTATAGACAAACAACATTGTTGGAGGATGGATGGATTGCGCCATAACGATCATATCAAATGGAGGTTGGCGGAATTGTGGAGTGAAGCATCGTACAATTTAAGTTCAAGATCCAAGTTTAGCTTCATCCGCAACGTGTACCAAGTTGAGCTCAATGAAGATCAAGATCAAGCTTGGGTAATTTAGTATAGGTTTATATTATGTGTGTTAAGTATGTTAAGCTCAATATCTATACACACACATTTATTGGTTTCTTCGTATATATATATAGTTATATATATATACACAAGTTTTGGTTTCTATATATATATAGTTTTATATATATACAAATATGTTTTTGGTTTAATTGTTTTCGAGTTTATATATGAAACAAATGAATAGAATTGGAAAATACTATTTTGTTTATATGTCTATATATGATTTCATCTTTAACAAGCTTATATTTAATAAAATCATATTTAGTGTTTTGTATACATTACATAGAATATGTAATTTTATGAAAATATGGTATTTCTAGGTTATAGACTTCATAACAACTTGTTATATCTTTTATCAAGTCTATACAATCATTTCATAAGGTTTTAAAATGTTGTTTAAGTCAAAATATCAAAATATCAATTTTCAGGTTTTCATGTTTTTGAACATATTTGCAAAATGATGATATTTTACATTTGGGAAGTCCTTTCTGATAACCAGTCGCTGTAGCATGTTTATTATCATGTCTACAATCATTCCCCAAAGTTTTACATTTTTTAGAATTTATTTGATATTTTTAAACAGCATTTTAAAATCAGCAAAATAGTTTTTCAGAACCTGTCATATCAGTTTTCGGTCGACCGCACCGGTCGACCGCTCATTTGTTCTTTCGACAGTAGGCTCCAGAGAGTTCGTCGGTCGACCGCCGCGGTCGACCGAGAGCTTCCTTCGGTCGACCGCACCGGTCGACCGGATAAGTGTTTGCTTGATTTCCTGTTTTCGACCTGGATAACGGGTCGGTCGACCAAACTTCTCCATCGGTCGACCGACAGAATTTTCGGTCGACCGACAATAGATCCGTTAGACACTAACGGCTATTTTTCTGAGCTGTCTTCTGGGGACTTTTCTGTCTTTTTGCTTGGGGTTTTTGGCTGAGTTGTGAGAGGGTATAAATACCCCATTGCTGATCTCTTCTCAAGTATCCAAGAATGTTTTAAAAAGAAGTTTTTAAACAAGTTTTAAACAAGGTTTTAAGTGTGTTTAAGGGTTTATTTTTGTTTGTGGAGAAGTTTTCACAAGTGGAGGAGATCATCTTCTTGTTTGGGCTTCAATCTCCATCTCTTCATCTTGTTATTCAGAGAAGAATCTCTAAACTCATTTCTAGCTATTTATTATTTTGTTTATAATTTCTATATGCTAGATTTTAATTGAGTTTAGTTTTGATTTTGATTTCACTCATTGTTTACACACACCCACTTGAGCTTATTGTATTTGCATACATAGTATATTAGGGTTGTGAGAGATTGTAACATTGAGTTGTGCTTAATTGAATTCTCATCTATTGTAAAGAACAAATTTATATTTGTTACATTGTGAGTGTTGTAAGGTTTTCGGTGAGCTAGAAAACCGAGTGTGTTGTGAAGTTTTCGGTGAACTAGAAAACCAATTGTGAGGAGTGACGTTGATCGGTGAGCGTTGAAAACCGATACTGTGAGGTGTAAACGTTATTCGGGTGAACGTAGAAAACCCGGTTGTAATAGTGGATTTCTCCCCGGGAGTGGGGAGCGGAGACATAGGACGGAAGGTCCGAACTCCGTGATCATATTGCTTGTTTGAGTTTGTCTTTGGCGTATTTGTTTTTGCATTTATCTTATATCGCCAATTGTGCATTACTCTTTTATTTCATCCACTATCTTGTTTAGATTATTTACTCTTGTGTTGTTTATATATCCTTGCATATATCTCTATCATATAGGATATATCTCATTGTTCATATTGCTTATCCTAGTTTATATTCTTGTTGTATTTCATACTTGCTAGGATAACGTATTAATTAATTTTAATTGGCATTTAATCGGATTAGATTAGCATAAGACCCTAATCACCCCCCCCTCTAGGGTCTAACACGGGGCTATTGGGGTCGGCGGAGGGAACGCCATCTTCTCCGACTAAGTCTGCCGCCATCGGGATTTCAGATCTAAACAACGTTGGCAAAGATCAGACCCCCCCTCCCCTAATTTCTTCGAACACAGGGACAAAGCTGGGAGTTTCTGGCGGGAGCGGTGCGAAGGAGAGAGAAAAAATACAGACGTGGAGGCGATTTATGAGTTCGTTTCCCTCTTCACCCCTAGCGAAACAAAGCTGGGGAAAAAAACTACGGAAACCAAAAATCCGACGTGGGGGAGAAAAAACTCATGTGGAGACCAAGTAAAAGTTTTCCATGGGGTTTTAAAGCGAACCAAACAGCCCAGAAGTAACAGAAGTAATATCTACTTTTTTAATTTCAGCTACTTCATATCTATTCTGGGGCAAACAAACAGGCCCTTAGAAGATTGAAAATTGATTTTTAAAGTAATTTCTAAGGGGTCAAGTGCAACAATTGCTAATATTTTTTTGTAGTGAATCGAAACAAATAACATGTTAAACTAAATGGGTCACAGAGCTTACACCATGCCAACAAGCATGCAAGACAAGGGCGTGACACTACTTTCATTCTTACCTGTTAGTTTTATCTGAATAAATGAGGTAAAAACAATGTTATGAAAGGATCTTTATTTTATAGGAGCTAATTTATATATTACTTGCAAATCTCCTTCTTTCTTCTATATTCTTTTTCCCCCTTTATTTAAAGCCAATAGCATCGGTGCATATGACAAGTAAAATTGAAGTTCTGATGGCACAATCCGTAATTAATTTTCACAATTATAGCTTTCTAATTTAAATCTTTGCTAACTATTTTGATCCACTAAAATACCTAATTTGATATGTGGGAATGAGTGAGAATGTAATGACAATTCCCACTTCTTACTCCTACATACCAAACACGACCTCATTTTGGAGGTAGAATTTACATTCTCACTTTCCCTCTCATTCCTACATAAAGGGGCTGTTTGTTTCACCAAGGGCTAGGAATAGGATTAGGAATCCTATTTAATTTATGGATTCCAACCTAATCCATAAAAAAAATTTATAGACAAGTTTTAGTTTTATGGAATCCCATTTTTTTGTCATTCAATATTTGTTTCACCCAAAGGATTAAGAATCTCACTTTTATAGAAATTGTCCAATTCCTAATACCATGTTTGGTTCAAAAAGCCCCTTTTTTTGGGAATCGATACTGTAGCAACAGCTAGCCCCCTTTACATTTAAAAAACCACTGTAGCAACGGATTGAAGCCACGAAAATTCAGATTTCAAGCTGAAATCACTGTAGCAATGGCTATTTTCAGATTCAATATTCAGATTTCAAAATTCTTAGGCAAAACACTATAGCAACGGCTAGTAGAGATCCATGGTGGCTATAAATTCACCTTGATGCCTCAAAATTAATCCAAGCATTCTCATTTTCAGCATTTATAAAATTCCCATTGTCTTCAATTTGCTGCCCCGACATGAAAATGATATCAGAAGAGTGCTGGCAGAATTATGAAGTTTATTGCGACTGCCATCTCCGAACACCGATGAAAGTATGCAAGAATGGTAAAAATAAGGGTAGGTGTTATTGGGGGTGTGCAAAATTCCCAAATAAAGAATGCAATTTTTTCGAATGGGCTGAAGAAAGAGGAGAGTTCATCAAGCAACCAAGGAAGCCAATATGTAAAAGAAAATAGGTACAGAGATAAATATATTTTGCAATCAAAGAAGCTGAAGAAAGAATTGAGACTTGTCGAAAATCAACTACTAGTTTGGAAAATTTCTGTAATTTTCTTAGCAATTTTTTGTGTTATTTTAATTATTACAAACTTCATGTCATGTACCTGTACTTGCAAAAACTACTGAGGATGTAATGAAAACTGTTGTTTGAATTGGGTACAAATTCTAATTGATATTGTATGGCTCAGTAATAGATCAACTTGTCATAATTGATTGCCCCGCCTATAACTTACATGTTTATTACAGATTGCATTATAAGGATGAATTGCCTCACCTAGACATTGTCAATTCAATGTAGGCTACAATCTCATCCCCTTTTGCCTCATCTGGATATAATAAACGATGTAAGTTAGATTGCATTCTCAGTAAACGCTAATCATCATCATTGCCACATATCAAGTGCAAGGAAAACCACAGGCAAGGCAAACCAAATCAGCAAGTAACCCACAGGCAAGGAAAACCAAAACAGCAACACAAAATGCAACCACGAGCTACACAAGCTCTTAACAAAATAGCAGCAAACCCAGCAGATAGGGAGTAAACAAGCAACAAACCCCAGCAGCAGCAGGAGCTGCACAAGCTCCCAATAACAGGCACAACCCCAAAGAGCATCTATGTTACACAAGCTCAAACAAAACAGCACCAAACCCCAGCTGCAGCAAATGCTGCACAAGCTGAAATCAAAAGGCACAACCCTAGCAACAGCCTGAAAAATACACAAGCTCAAACAAAACAGCACCAAACCCCAGCTGCAGCAGGAGCTGCACAAGCTCCAATTATCAGGCACAAACCCATACTGTATTGGAGCTACACAAGCTCAAAATAAAATAGCAACAAATCCCAGCAACAGCAGGAGCTGCACATCTGAGGAATAACAGCTTAACCTGTAATAACAAGGAGCTACACAAGCTCAAAACAGACAAGCAACAAACCCCAGCAGCAGCATGAACTACACAAGCTCAAAACAGTTTAGCAACAAACCCCAGCAGCAGCAGGAGCTGTACAAATTGTTAAATAACAGGCACAAACCCAACACATCAAGGATCGAATACAAGCTCAAAACAAAGCAGTTGGCAAACCTCAACAGCAGTAGGAGCTGCACAAGCTCTAAATAACAGGCACAAACCCAACAAAGATTGGAGCTACACAAGCTCAAAACAAAGCAAGGAATAGGACAAGCTCAAAAGAAAACAGTTGGCAAACCCCAGCAAATGCGTGAGCTGCACAAGCTCCCAATAACAGGCACAAACCCAAGAAAGCAAGGAGCTACACAAACTCAAAACAAATCAGTTGGCAAACCCCAGCAGCAGCAGGAGCTGCACAAGCTCCCAATAACAGCCACAAACCCACAGAAACCACGTGTGACTATGGAGTAATAAACCCAAGCAACAGAATGTAAAAGCCGACATCAGTAAACCCAAGCAACAAACCCATTTACCTGATATCAAAAGCAAAGGCAAAATTCAAAATAGCCCATTGATCATTCCACGACAATACTTACCTGCAACAAAGATTACAAATATACCAATTCATCAATCCCACAACGACATAGATGTTCTTCATAATAAAAATATATATTGCAACATTAATAGTTTGCAATTAACACAACAATATCCATCAAAATATAATCGAAACCCAACAAACTAGCTATCCGGCCAACCTTGGTCGTTAACTAATTTTGTGATGTACCTCTGCTGACCTTCCTTGGATTTTATGAAAAACCTCCTAGCTTCACGTTCATTGTCATATAAATGGTCTAAAACCCTATCGAGGAACTCCTCGGAATATTCAGACCTATGTTCCTTCAACGCTCCAGCCAACTGCTCAGTCCAGTGTATAACGTGTTGATTTCTCATTGACTGAGACATAGACTCAACAAAGGCACATAGCATTTCCTCTTCACGATTAGATTTTCTGGTTTTTTTGTTAGATGATGAAGTCATGTTGTCTTTACTCTTAGTCTTATATCTAGTGGGTTGTGGTTGGTTAACAGCACCAGAACGTGGTTGGTTGCAAGCATCAGACTGTGGTTCAGTTTCACTCTCCTCTAGAATCTCGCAATCATCATCGGGAATAGGTATGGACCTACTAGACCCAATGTTAGCGTACACGGGCCTAACAAAATCACCCTTGGCTTGATCATCACCCATGATAACTTGTAAATTTTTGAAGTGAGGAATGGGTTTGTTTATGTACGCTTTGTATTTAGAATTGGATTTGTTCTGCAATAATAAATACTTATAAGTAGTGAATCAAATGTATTAAATTGAAGGTGACAATATAGATGCTGAATTTGTTATACCTTGGCCCAAGATTTCAAGGTTTCCTCATCCAATGTAATCATTTTACTTGTTTCATCCACCCAGCACCACTTATATCAAGGCAAGCTTTCATGTCATTGAATTTGTTCCTCAAACATTTCAAGTGGTTAATGACATGAAGGTGAGTGAAATCAGTCCTGAATTGCATGTTGATTTTCATGGCAGCCATTTTATAAGCTTCAGCCTTGAAGTTCTTGTCTGGCTTCATGCCATCCAATGCTAAATCTGCAAGATAAGGAATAAGCACATCATCGTGCTCTGGAAGCCAAAACTTATTAGCCACGCCTCTTGAGTTCAACCTGGCACACGGAACTTTTTTTTATGGGCTAATCTTTTCCCTCTTTTCAATGGCGAAGTGTGCTCCGCACCATCAACGTCATGAATATCCTTTCCACCTGAATCACCAGTGTTCGGTAAAAATTGATTAGGTCCACTACTTTGAGAACTGGCTGTGGGAAACATCAAACCTTGTGGACTGCCTAACAAGCTCATGTATGACATTTGGCGGCTGTGTCATCCCACCATAATTACCATCCCATGGTGGGAATGGTGAGAATGTATGCGGAGGTGAGGTGAATGGCTGTGGTCGAACTGGCATGTAGTTCATGTTAATCCCTGATGTAGGATTTGGCATTGCATTCGAATGAGAAGGCATGCTTTGCTTATCTGCCGGATTGTTAGCCATACCTAATATATTTTGTAAGCATAGCCATATTAACAATAAAGAAATATAAAACAATATGGGATATGTATGCATTTATCAAGGAATATACGAAACGATGATATTTCTAGTTCAAACAACATAGAAAAAGAGCAACCGATAAAAGTAGTAATGTTTTGGTACAAGCAAAAAAACAATAAACAATATCGATGCGAACAGTATTTTAAAATTCACCAAGTTATTACATAGCCATAGAACAAATACCACACTAAGTTAAACCGCTCTCCATTGTGTTACCACCATTATACTTTGCACAATAATCCACCCACATCGCCCAAGCAATTTGATCTCGCATCTCCTTCTATTCATTTCTAACATCTCGATCCTCTCTTTGTGTCCTACTTTGAGTATAGTCCACCACATTTGAATCATCTTCATTTGTCTCTTCCCCATTATCTTCATCAATTTCAACATTTTCATTGAAAATATCATCAGCCGGATCCTCCAAGGCAATAAAGTTGTGCAACACAGTACACGCTAGTACAATGTCCACTTGAGTGGGAAATGGATAATTCGGCTTCGCCGCAAGAATTTTAAACCGATTCTTCAGTATCCCAAATGTGCATTCAATTTTTGATCTTAAAGATGAATGCCTTAAATTGAACAACTCCTTCCTATTCTTTGGTGTCCTACCGGTGTGCTCTTTTAAATGATATCGGACACTGCGATACGGGGATATGAAACCTGACATTGTGGTGTATCCAGCATCACATAGGTAATATTTACCTACATTAATTAAACAGTAATTTAAAATCTAAAATATTGCCAAGTAGTTAATATATTATTCATAATGTGCACAAGTGAGAATAAATACCATCATAAACTCGGAGCCCGTAAGGCTATGGTCTGGACAGGGCGTCTTGTAATACCCTATAATCATTTGCTGCCCCCTCCCAGCCAGCCAAGACATAAGTAAATAGTTTATTGGGGGTGCAGGCTGCTAAGATGTTTTGGGTGACCCCTTTTCGCCCTCTAAACCGTGCAACTAGGTCACTAGGTAACACCGCGTCGACGTGTGTGCCATCTATCAAACCAATGCAGTCCTATAAAAAATTATAAATTATACATAGTTGAATAAAAATAAGTTTATTTGGAAAATTGTTAAGCTGTATGTATTTAATTTACCTTAAAGTAAAGAAAATAATTTGAGTTGTTTACAATCTCCTCGGGAACTTCTTTTGGGGCTTGCTTCATGTACCGATCACGTAGTCCATTCATTGCTTGCAGAACTTTATTGAAATACCTGCTAACTATTTCCCCTGATCTTATGAACTCAGTTCTTATTATTCTATTTTTAGTTTTGTGCCCAATAACACTTAGGAACATAGCAAGCTGTTCTTCAACTTGAACGTATCTTGTATCTTTTAATAAACCGTTTGCTTTCATTACTTCAACAAGTTTAAAAAAGGCCATCGGTCTCATTCTAATATAAGATTGACAGCTATTTTGATAGCCCTCCAGTACACGTCTGAAGTGAGCCTCTCTACAATATATTTTTCTGATCTTTTCTTGCTTCGTACAAGTTGATATTCTCTTGCGCTTAGCACGCATTCTCAATATACATGTTACCAAAGTGACCACGGCGCAGACAGCCGTATTAGCACACATCCTCTTCAATTCTTCCTCATCTTCCATATCCATCTACATCCGTTTTAAAATTATCATACAGTTATAGCTTAAGATGGCTACTTATTTGTTGTCAAAATTAATTAGATAATTGATACAAATATTTATTTCTTAAAAAGTAAGAAATCTAATTGAAATGAAAATTATTTTAACTGAAGTTGCATTCTATCTCACACAATTATCAATAACAACACATTCTACTACCAGGTGGATTTTCATGTAATGAACTTAACCCTATACTTCATGTCATGCATTCACATTCTTTGGTAAACACATATATTAAAAACAACTCATTCACACAAATATCATGCATTCTATTTCACACAATTAACTAAAATTTAGTAAACATGTACCCTATTTTCTGGTAATTATACATGTAACGAATTATCAAGAAAATTATCATTCTACAGATACCATTCATCACATTAAGCACGAAGAAATAAGTCTAAAAAAGAGTGCAAAATTTTCAGAGGGGGGAAAAATGCCGACGTCCAAGCAGCAAAGTTGCCGAAGACAGAGAACCCACCGTAGCCAACAAAATGCTCCGAACCAGAACAAGTTCGAGTAGGTAACACCAAGAATCAAAGGCCAGAAACCCACCAACAAGATCGTGGAAATCAAATTAAATAAATCATGGCGGAAAATGAGGCGGGATCAGATAGGGAGAAGCCGATTTCACACAAAATCGGCCAAGAAACCAGCCTCGGGAGAATCTAGGGTTTCGACAAACAGCCCCGACCCCAAGTAGAAGAAGACGAAGGGCGGGAGAACGGTGATTCCAGATCTAGGGCTTGATTTCGTGAGGTTTAGGAATCGGAATCGACATTGTAGCCGCTGTCAGAAATCTCGCCCAAATCCGCTGAAACATATCCGATTTGGGTTTCTATAAAAAACCCATACTGTTGCTACTTTTAGGAATTTGTAATCCCAAAATTTTTTCCGAGCCAAACACTAGAATAGGATTCACAAAGAATTCAAAATTTACAATTTTGCCACTGTCAGTCCCCAAATACTAATCATTTTCTATAAATTGGTGAAACAAACAGCCCCAAATTCTCACTTTATGTAGGAAGGAGTATTCCCAATGAAATGCTGGGGAACAAACATTCGCTTAAGGAGGAATCAAAAAAACATAAGACTTCCAAATATGTTCTATTCCCACTTCATGCTTTAAATTACATCTGAACGTGAAAATAGAAATAAGAATTCCATTCCCATATTAAATTCATTCAATTCCTTTCTTCATCCTATTCCCACTCACCATACCCTCGTATGTTGCCCTCATTCCTAATTTGTACTCAAAGAAAAAATCACAATCACTGACTAGATAATGAATAGTAATGATTATGTAGTGGTCCCTCCACTATATTTTTGATAGTGGAGAGGATCTGAATCCTTCTCACTTCACTTGATTCTGGCATACCAAACCAGGCGCAACATTCTAATTGCTTCATCAAACCCGTCTTAATAAAACAATCTTCATACTCATTTGTTAAAGTTATTTCTTCTTCCGTCATAGGCTTTCCACTAAAAAAAAGAAAGAATCGTTGTCAATGATATACTTGTGGAACCTCAAAATAGAGAAAAATAAATAAGTATACAATATTTTTATTGTAAATTTATTTGATTCGCATTAATGTGACGTTTTCCCATAAGATTATTAATCTATAGTGTTCCAGCATAATTTAAGTTTGCCATGATTTTGGTTCTAATGGAAAAAACAAATATTTCCTTTTTTATGAGATCCCAATCCTCTGGAGTCCCAATTCTTTCAAGAGATTTTTATCTCTTAGCTTAGTTTATTTACACAATTTGACAAGTTATATCAGCTGTGAATTTTCTATGTAAACATGAAGGAAAAAATGACACTAATATCTTGTATTTTCCTTTTTTTAAGAATTAATTAATAAACCAATCTTGGAGCAGCCAAGCTAAGCTCTTATTCAATCTTTTTCCTTATTTTCCCTCTATGCGTTTGCTCTTTTTATATTTTTACTTTTTTAGACAAAATAACCAATTCATCCTTAAAGTATCAGTTTATCTATTTCCCCCTCAAAATATGAGTATGTGCTCGATGCAATCATTTTATAAATCCACTAAAATATTTAACAAATTAATGATGTGACATTGTTTTTCTTTTGGCATTTCTACACGAATTTATTATTTTGCCTCATTTTTTCCCAAACAAAAAAAATCCAACTACTTTCCTCTAATTAGTTTTATTTACCCTTTGTCCCTTTTTGAAATTGAAAAATTATTTTTTTGAATTTCTTAAGTACAAGAAATGAAAAAATGTCACGACATCGATATTCTACATATTTTACTAAGAGCTTAAAAAATAACCACATTGGTCATATACACATAGTTTAAAGGAAAGTAGGTAAATTAATACGTTAGGGGGGAAGTTAAGAGTTCATCAATACTTTAAATGAAATTTAGTGAGTATTTTCCTCTTTTCCTTTCTAAGAGTTTTATCTTTTTGGGATTTGCGTATGTTTCCTTCGAGTACCCATCCTATCAGAACATCCCCACCAAAAGGGAACTATGCAGTTGAAATGGGCTTAAGAGGGGTATTTCCATCATTTCAATGGACCCTACTGGTTCAGATCACCCCCGACATGGTGTGGGACATTTTGATAGAAATGAGTACTTGTTTCTCCGCATGGTGCGAGATGTTCTGATAGAATGAGTACTTGTTTTTGTAAAACCCCGTGAATTTTGCAAAGTAGTGTGAATTATATTGATAAATGAGCTCTAATTATGATGAATGTTATTTAAGAATGAATGCTTATGCTAACAATTAATTTGAGATCAATTAAGAGTATATATGAGAGTATACAAAGGTTAAACATGCACAAAGAAGAAATCTGGAAAAACGATAAGTTAAGAGTATATATGCTTTACACACCGATACAGTTTGAATCTAAAAAAACTCAAAAGATAAAAGTTGTAGGTATCTTCAATATCTTTCCAACACATCTTAAATCACCTTATTCTGAGATTGTACGTGAAAGTTACAACTAAAAAACCGAAGACTATTTTCCTAGTATGACTGGGTTTCCTGTTTCGGGTTTGGGCTGTTTTGATTCAGATTTACAGTTATATATATACATGTTTACACACAAAAATATATTTTTTCATTAGTATTCCAAACCCTAGTATCCCCTCTTCCTCTCTCTCAAAACATAATCATAATTTATGAGATTTGGGGGAGTTCTTGAGACGTTTGTCGAGAGGAAGCCGGGATTTTTGCGACTTTGGTAAAGAGGGATCTTGCACGCACGTGTTCAAGAGTTCAACATGGCATTTGAGGCAAGATCATCTTTCTCCCTATAATTAAGTCATGATTTAAGATGTTTAATTGATGAATCTCATGTTAAAGTTTAACCTGATGTTTTAAAATCTTAGTTTATGATGTTAATCTTTAAACCAATGTGAAAATCTGTATATTTAGTTGCTGTTTATATTAGTTGATGATCATGATAATTAGGGTTGCTTTTATTTTTGTTTAAATTTATTAATTATGCTTAAATCATGTTTAAACTCTAGTTTAACAATTAATTGAGTTTTCTTGTTAATTTAAGATGTATAAACCCTAGGTTTGTGATACCTAAGTGATGCAAACGTGTTTAAATTATTTTATATCTATTCAATGATTAGTTCCAATAATGCTTAGTTAATCATGTTGATAATTTATGTTTTATTTTATAAATTTTGGTTAATTGAGATGCTAAACCCTAACTAGATTAATTCAAGAGTTTAAATCATGTTGAGTTAATCCCTGTTAAGCAAATATGAAAGTTTAAATCTTGTTATATGCCTCATGTTAATAAAATTAAGTTTTAAATCTTGTTATATGCCTCATGTTAATAAAATTAAGTTTTTGAATAAAGTTACAAAAATACAAACGTCAAAATCTGATCTGTGAAGATCTTCTCTGGCCGGTCGACCGACCAAGGCTAGCCGGTGACCGGTGAGATCCTGTGAGTGTACTTTGTGCACGTTTGCGTTCGGTCGACAGACGTCCTAGGGACCGTCAACCGGCATGTGTTCTCTTTTGTTTGAAATGTTATTTTTTTACACCTTTTGTTTTCGAACGCGGGGTTCGAGGCGCACGATGATACACGTACAATCATGAGTATACACGTATAGTGTCGTAGCACACACATGGGTATTCTGAAGAGGATTAATACAGTTATTGTTTCTATTACACGGGAGATATGATTTATTTAAACATTATATACTTGTATGGATATCGTTGATGAGCACCGCTCAGTACTGTTTGTGATAGTGCGTCGATATACCATTAGTACAGGCCATTGAGTCGGGTTTTAGGATGCTTGATCTAGTAGTCCGTCCTGTACGTAGATGCGATGAGGTTTGTGAGCCGTATACTTAGGATGTCTGATTTGGTAGTCCGTCCCGCACGTTGATACGATGAGACTAATGAGCCGTTTACACTTTTAAGATGCCGATTTGGTAGTCCGTCCCGCATGATAATGCGATAAATTATAAACTTTGTAAGGATCTGCATTGTGATAATTATCTGATAGCCTCAGTCTTGGTGGACGCCATTTATGAACATGACTCATCGCTTTGTTATATATGACTGATGTACTTTACTCTTGTAAGTACGCGGGATTATATGCAGTTGTTTACATTATCTTCCAAAGGATAGTGGAAGATATTTTTGGTCCGATATTGTGATGATTTTACTTTCTTGTATTGCTATCCTTTATTCTTAGTTGGGATTGATGATTAGCGATTCACAATTTGAAACATATGGTATATATATGAGTGTTTTCTTGTTTGGATTATTTCGCTCGACGTATCAGTCTCGTGTTGTGAGTTTCTAATTATTGATTCTATTTAGATTGTTTATTCTTAGACCGATATTAATATTTAGTTATCTACAATTTGAGACATATGATATATACATGAGAGTTTTTTTTTGTTTGGATTATTTCGCTCGACGTACTACGTATCGTGTTGTAAGTTTCTAAATATTAATTCTATTTAGATACATGATAAATGATCTAGATAGACTATGCTTAATAGGTAAAGTCTTCATCACATCTAGTAGCCCTTCCCCTGGGGGCGGATGAAGATGATCTTGCTGTAGTGCTCTGACGCTCTTGTTGTTTCTCTTTTTATTTTTCAAAAGGCAGCAGCTCAGAGTTTCGGAGAGCCGCAGGATGAAGGACTTCCAGCATAGTCGTCGTCATATATTTTTAGTAGATGAGACTCCATCGTAGTTGATATTTATCTCTAGACATTTAGAGTTTTGTATTTCATCTTGTAAAGGCTGTGTGCCTTAGTTTATTTTTAGTTGACTCATATTGAGATACTTCACATTTATTTCAGACTTTAGTTTTATTCAGTTTATTCAGTTTAGACATGATTATATATATTAGATATCTCTTTCTATATCATGTCTATTGTATTTATTTCCCTTATTTTGCCTGTGGTGTACCTGCACTTGTATTTGATTCCACTAGAGAGATATTACTGTAATGGTAAAACGTGTTGTTGCACAGTGTGGGTGCATGACATGTTTGACATCTCTGGGTTCACCTTGGACTGCAGTCATGTGTGAAAACATGGGCGTCACAGTTTTCGTTATTGTTTCTTCTACATCTTCTCCCCCTACAATATTTCTATCGATATATTCTATTTTGACTATTAGTAATTGACTTTAATTCAGCTAGTAACAAAATATATGCATAGTAACGTTCCAAATTAGTATGTAGTTATGGCTTATTAAAATCTAGTTCTAACTTATACCAAATTAGTTTGTACAATTAAAGACCAAGTCCTAGCTCCTTAAAATCTTGAATAGGCTGGAAAAATAATTGGCCCAGGCCGTCCCTAAATCTTTAAAACTAGACCCAAATACATAATTGCCGGGCTGGCCCAAGACATTTTAAGATCCTCCACCGCAATAAAATGGAAATGTTATAAAAATAAAAAGAGAACAATTTTTCTAAATAGACCCATTTCAAATTTTTTTAAAAACCGACTCTTTTTTTTTATTTACCAAAACCGACCCGATTTTATGATTAGCAGACTAATCACCTTCCTATATAGGACAGTGTTAAACTCTAATTAGAAGCCTTAAACCCTAAAAATTAATGTCCTAAATAGTCGGGGTTGTCAACCCCCGACTATTTTGGTTTTGGTAAATTAAAAAAAAAGAGTCGGTTTAAAAAAAATAAATTTGAAATGGGTCTGTTTAGAAAAATTGTTCATAAAAAGAAGAAAAAAAAGGGGAAAGCAGAACCATCATCATCATCATCGAGGTCAGCTATGTTTTGCCTCCGGATTCACTCCCTGGACTCCCTCACCGCCTCCGCGGCCGCCGCCTCCTCCTCCTCCGGCCAATCAGGAGGAGGGGGAGGAGGAGAATTTCAAGAATCAGAAGGAAGCAGCAGCAGCAGCGCGATCACAAGCGCGGATCCAAGAATCCAAGTTATAAAGGGTACCATCCACCTCTATCGAAATGGACCCCACCCCATCCCCTCCTCCTCCAACTCCTCCTCCGCTGCCCCCGGTTGCTTTCCAGACCCTCTCCTTCTCCCTGTAATTTCTCCATCTCATTTGTTTACCTTTCTTAATTTTATCATTTGGAAATGGAAAATTAGGGCCTCAGTTGTTTTTTGTGGCGAATTATTTATTATGCGTACAGGCTGGGAGAGGAACGCTTCTGTTTGTCCTCGCCGTCCCCAACCGCCTCTCTGCTGATGATTTCCTTCGCTTCTGCGGCTCCTATGCCGACCGCTCCTCCGACATCAGAGTCATCAGGTTTGGACGTTCAATCTTTCAAGGAGTCCATTTGTTTTCTTGTCTTTATTTGTATGACTGTCGATAATATTGGGGCATCCTTGGGCTTGTTTGGATTGAGGGGAATAAGAGTGAAGGGAAGTTAGGGGAACCATTCACCTCCATTCACCTTGTTTGGGAACATTTAGAAGGTGAAGTTATTCACCCTAGTTCTCCTTGGTTCACCCCTAATAGTATAAAATTTGTTACCCCAAATTGGGGTGTAACCAAGGGGAAGGGAACTCCCTTCCCTTTCCTTCCATTCTCTCACCTAGTTTCCCTTAACTTCCCCTCACCCCCTACAAATCAAAACATGCTCAGTGTTTAGCTATGCTTTTTTTGGGTTAACCCTTAAACTCGGGTGCGATAGTAAGTGAAGGCAAACAAATCATACTCGCTTTCCCTTTAAAAGATGAAGTTGTGGAAAACTTTTCAAGAACTATATTACCCTTATTTTTTTATATTACATCTATTACTAACTAAACTAAATTAATTATCATTGTTAATTAATTATACTATCTATCACTTCAAGTTTGTATAATTTGGTCCCTAAAACTTCCAACATTATTGTGAAACTCTGCATCATATTAATTATTAGTAATTATGATAATATATTAATAGATAATTGCATATTAATAAAGTATATATGGAAAGAGTAGAAAGTATAGAATTGTTCTAAAATTATACCATGATGCTCATATAGAAAAATTACAAAGAGCATTCTTATGTTTACGTAATAGGACAGAAGGTACAAACATAAAATTTTAGAAAACATTAAGATATTTAAGTGTAGCAAGATACAAGTGGGGGTACATAAGTATACTTTTGGTAAACTATAAGTACAAAAGAAAACCCATAACCTTCCTATATGTACCATCGAAGACCTCGGCATATACAATATGAATATATACGATCAAATTCCAAACACAATGCTAATTACGCCTAATTAAACCGGATAAATCCTAATTAACTCCAACCCCTAGCCTAATTAAATTAGGAAATGTAAGAGCATTCACTTATGCAAATATCATACCTGATGTTATTTGAAATCTAATAATCAAGAAATAAAGCGCAGAGAGAAAGAAATTTAAAAATCATAAGCAAAATTTAGAAAATGATCAAATCATACATTCGTCAATGAGTTTCCTTCGTGATCCTACCTGATGTCTAAAATCTAAGAAGTGAGGAGATGATGGCAGAGGCGGTACGGTGATGATGAGGATAATAATTATCATCCTTGGTAATTAATGAATTAAGATAGTTGGACGACGTTGCCGGAGCAAAATCGTAACTGATGGAATGGTTGCCTGAGTGAAGTCGTAACCGATAGAATGGAGAATAAAGGAACGAAGGTTTAGGGCTCCTGATTTATGACTTCTGTGTAACGAAAAACTTTCCAATGACTATATTACCCCTATTTTTTTATATTACATTCTACTACTAACTAAACTAAATTAATTATCATTGTTAATTAATTATACTATATGTCGCTTCAAGTTTGTATAATTTGGTCCCTAAAACTTCCAACATTATTGTAAAACTCTACATCATATTAATTATTAGTAATTATAATAATATAGTAATCGGTAATTGCATATTAATAAAGTATATATGAAAAGAGTAGAAAATATAGAATTATCCTAAAATTATACCATGACACTCATATAGAATAATTACAAAGAGCATTCTTATGTTTACGTAACAAGACAGAAGGTACAAACATAAAATTTTAGAAAAAATTAAGATATTTAAGTGTAGTAAGATACAAGTAGGGGTACGTAAGTATAATTTTGGTAAACTATAAGTTATTTAATTTCTGTTAAGCCTATAAAAAATTGAATTATTTATTATCTACAAACAATAGTATATAATCTCATTTATAAATAACATTCATCATACAATATGAGACCATATGCTTAGCTTATTTACTCCTTTATACTTAAAGGATAAAGGATGGTCCAAATATTTACTGTTCATGCTGCAGTAAATAAATACAGTAAATTACTATAGCATGAACAGTAAATTTTTAGGTCCTCCTTTAAGTATGCAGAGTAAATTTATTATTAATGCTACAATAATTTACTGTATCATGAATAGTACTCTTTTAAGTATAAAGTAGTAGATATGATTTTTAATTTTAAGCATACAATAATTAAATCAAATGTATTAAACCTTAGAGGGAGGTAAGTTCAAAATGCAATGCTTAAAAAAAGAACCATATTTTGAATAAGTATCAAGATTTTGAATTATTTCCTAAAATTATATACTTCACTTAGAAAACTTTAGAATAGACTTTCAAAGGACTACTACAAGGTGGTGGACATAAGATAAATATTGAACAAATAAAATTCAGGATATCAGATTGCAGAAATTGGGAATATATATACAATATTGAGCGTCATATGAGATAATATTCATACATAACATAATATTGTAATATGTAAGCTAACATATTAATGATTTTTAAACATAACAATTTGCATCGAGATATATATGCTTAAGATTTTGGAGAGCCGAGAATGCAAAGATTTCAGAGAAGAATTGCGGCTTTTGTGGGTTTTGATTTTGTTTCCCAAACATGATTCAAACTCGAGCCCACAATCAAATTAAAGATGACATGATTATTTCGATATCTTCAAAGGGATATATCAAGCATATTTTTATAGCGGTCGATATATAAAAAAAATCACCAAATAAAAGAAAATAATAAAAAATTTTATCGAGATAAAGTCTTTAACCCGATATATCAGCCGATATAGCAGTATCAATTGATGTTTAATACAATGCCTATAAGAGCAAATATGTAAAAATTATTTACATATTATTCCCTTGATTTTAAGTATCCAATAATTCTATGTTATTCCCTCAAAATTTTGAAATTGCTCATAATTTTAGGGACTAATATTAAATTATTAAAAATTTAAGGGACAAATTATAAATAAGCTATATTTAAAAGAAGAGTTAATTTTTTAAAAACCGTCTCAACTATAGGGATTGTCTCAAAAAACCCACTCAACTGATTCAATTTAATAAATCCCCTTATTATGTGGGTGTTATAGATAACCCCTTTTAATTTTGGTACTATTTTAGAAAACACCCCTCAACTATAGCGTGTCTCAAAAAAACTCCTATAATCCTTTACACTTATATCAATAGACCCCCTTAACATAGTTACTTCAATATGTGGTTTGGACAAAATACCCTCTTGAAGAAAGCCATTTTAGTTAAAAAGAAACGCTCAACCGGTAATAAAAGGACAACAACCAATTTACAATTCTTTTTTCCTTTATATCACATCTTTTTCTTTTATTTGGCAAAAACCAATGTAATTCTTTTATGGTTGAGGGATATTTTGATCTTTTCAAGTCAAGTATTTGTCACATAATAGATAAGACTCAATGATATTAGTTTTGAGAGGTTTGGTTTAAGTGATGAAAGTTCACAAGGGTTAAATAAAATTTTTTACGTTGAGATAGATCACCTACAAAACACCCAAAACTTGACAGAGATTTACTCAGGTTCAAATAGATTTTTTTTTGGGGGGGGAGGGGGATGTTGACATGCGCCCTATAATTGAGGGGGAGTTTTCAAAATTAACCTTTAACCAAAAACACAACTTAAGGCACATGTGACGTCAATTTTATAAGAGTGGAGTTTATAGCAATACCATCACTCAATTAATTGATTTGGGTTATTCGTCCTTAAATATATCTTATACATCAACTCTGAAAATCTTTTGCTATAAAAATCTCTAGGAGAAACTTAATCTTTATTTGGGATGAGTATGTGATCCTTCTGATTGTCCTTGTCTTTCATGATTTATAATAAATTATTGGATAAAGTAAATTAAGTTGTTACTCGCATTCTTATAAGTTTATGAAGCTCATAACTCGAATATGAGTTTTGTTGCGGAAACTGTATTCTTCTAATTCCTTAACATAATTTTTGGATATTGTTTGACATTGAATGGATATGAATTATTTTGTTAAAATACAATCATTATGAGTGCATAATATGTATAAATCATTCTCAAAGTATATTTTATAATTTTTAAAAACTAGAGAGTAATCGCTTTGACAAATAAATTAATAGTTGTTGAGATGTAATAGAGTCTAATATCATATTTTGGAATTGATCTGGAATTGATCACATAGTTTATGTTTTCGTTCTTGATTGAATTTGCACATTCTAACTTAGAAAATTCTAGAAAAAAGTTCTTGAATATATACAATACTCGGTCGCCGGATAAACAATAGGTGAAAGTAAACAATAGGTGGAAGTGATTTTTTTTATTACTAAAAAAAATCCTTACTGATTGGATAAAACCTACAATTGTCTTTGATGAATTTAAGAATTTATTTTCTTCATTAATAATAATAGATTTTTTCATATTGGTCCCTTACATCAATAATATTTTGAAATTATACATTCAAATTACTAATTAATCTTAAATCAATAATATTTTAATGCTTTAAACATCACTATTTCTCTCGAAGATAAAATGTTAAATCTAACAAGATTTTACACATGAAAATATAAAAAATTAATATATTATGATAATTATAAACTTTTTTATAACCATGTTATAGCAAATAAATAAACTTAAAGTAAATAATTAAATATTTGATCACGTGTAGTGCACGTGCATTCCACCTTGTATTCATATGTTGTACATGGTAATAAGTGGCAAAGCCACGTATTTCGGTAAATGGGTCCAAAAAAGTTTAGACCCTCACCTCCAGAAAAAGAAGATATTTGACCTCTTCTAAGAAATTGTTTCATGATTGAGTCATTATTTTAGTCCTTAAGTCTTTCATATTTTGAATTAGTCCTTCAAATCATGGAAATTGCTATTAGGTCTCTCAATTTCTGACTTATTTTTAGATCAGTCTCTCCATTCAAGAATATAAATAGTGATTAGAAAGAATAAATTTAAATTTTTTCATCAGAATTGGGAGAGCTAATAGTCCACAACACATTCT